TACTCAAAATGGCCTTGCACAGTAATTTATTAAACGCCTGCAATTGATAGCAAGACCACTACTTATAAAAATAAAATTGCCCACTACTGTTTGGGGTCATGCTATCTTGCATGCAGCATCACTTATCCGTCTCATACCGATACATTATAATAAATATTATCCGTCACAATTAGTTTTTGGTCATGAACCAAATATTGCTCATTTATGAATTTTCGAATGTGTTGTATATGTGCCAGTAGCACCACCACAACGCAGTAAGATGGGCCTACAGAGAAGGTTATGAATATATGTTGGGTTTGAATCACCCTCTATTATTCTCTATCTTGAACCATTGACTGTAGATTTATTTACTGCTTGATTTGTAAATTGTCGGTTTGATGAAATAAATTTCCCACAATTAGGGGGAGAGAAAAAGGAAGTCAAAAGAGAAATTGTGTGGAAAGTTTTATCATTATCTCATTTTGATCCACGTACCCCTATATGTAATCAGGAGGTCCAGAAGATCATCCATTTATAAAATATAGCAAATCAAATGCCAGAAGCGTTTACTGATTTAAAAAGGATAACTAAGTCACATATCCTTGTAGAGAATGTGCATATCCGAATTGATGTCCTAGAAGGACTATCTACTAGTATGAGAGTTAGTGAACCTAAAGCACGCCTGAAGCGTGGCAGGTCTTTGGGTTCTAAGGATCGAAATCTTCGGAAAAAAAAATCGACAAATGATCAAAATGATACTATGAAGGGATCTCCTGAAGAGGCCTAAGATCTGATTAGTTCTGAGATTCCTAAAGAAATCAATGAACCCGAGACTCAAGTGAGTGAGGAACTTTTAATAAGTTCTATTGGTAATGGGATTAATTTAAATCAATCTGAAATAGTGGTGGATAATATTTTGCATATAATGTTGCACTTAACATTATGCAAGATAGTGAGGATCTTGAACCCCGATCTGTCGAAGAATGTCAATAAAGATCTGACTAGCCAAAATGACAAGAGGCAATTCAATAAGAATTGAACGCACTTGCTAAAAGAGAGGTCTTTGGATCAATAGTCCAAACACCTGCTGGTATAAAATCAGTTGGTCACAAATGGGTTTTTGTGCGAAAAAAGAATGATAAAAATGAAATTGAAAGATACAAAGCTCGCCTTGTCGTACAAGGATTCTCACAACGACCTGGAGTCGATTTTGATGAAACATATTCACCTGTTATGGATGCCATAACATTTCGATATCTCATCAGTTTAGCACTACATAAAAAGCTTTATATACATCTAATGAATATAGTTACAGCTTATCTGTACGATTCACTTGATAATGAAATTTATATGAAAATACATGAAGGATTTAAAATTCCTGAAGCAAATTCAAAATCCCGGGAAATGTATTCAATTAGATTACAAAGATCTTTGTACGGTTTAAAGCAATCTGGGCGCATGTGTTATAATCGCCTTAGTGAATATTTGTTGAAAGAGGGTTACATAAATGATGTTATTTGTCCATGTATTTTTATAAAGAAAATGACATCAGAATTTGTTATACTTGCTATTTATGTTGATGACATAAATCTCGTTGGAACTCCAGAAGAGCTCCAAAAGGCAATTGAATATCTTAAGAAAGAATTTGAGATGAAAGATCTTGGAAAGACAAAACTTTGTCTTGGTCTGCAAATTGAACATTTAGTATACGGGATCTTTATACATCAATCTGTCTATACAGAAAGGGTCTTAAAAAGCTTTTACATGGACAAATTGCACCCATTGAGTACACCAATGGTTGTTCGATCACTTGAAATGAATAAGGATCTGTCCCGACCTCTAGAAGAGGATGAGGAACTCTTTGGTCCTGAAATACCTTATCCTAGTGCAATTGGTGCACTTTATGTATCTTGCTAGTACTACAAGGCCTCACATAGCATTTCATGTTAATTTACTAGCAAGATATAGCCTTTCTCCTACACAGAGACATTAGAACGGGATTAAGCATATAATTGCGATATTTAAAGGGAACTCTTGATATGGGTTTATTTTATTCTAACAAAGGTAGTGCAGATCTTGTTGGTTATGCAGATGCAGGTTATTTATCTGATCCACATAAAACTCGATCTCAAATAGGGTATGTGTTTACATGTGGAGGTACTGTCATATCATGGCGTTCCACAAAGCAATATATTATTGCTACTTCTTCAAATCATGCTGAGATAATAGTTATTCATGAAGCAAGTAGGGAATGTGTATGGTTGAGATCAATGATTTATTTTATTCAAGGAAAATGTGGTTTGGAATGTGATAAAAGATCCACAATTTTATACGAATACAATGTTGCATGCTTAACCCAATTAAAGGGAGGATTTATAAAAGGATATAGAACGAAGCACATTTCACCAAAATTAGTTTACACACATGATCTTCAGAAAAATGGTGACATCGATGTGCAACAAATCCGTTCAAGTGATAATCTAACAGATTTGTTCACTAAATCTTTGCCAACTTCAACTTTTGAGAAGATGTTATACAAGATTGGAATGCGGAGACTCAAATATTTGAAACAAGGTTTTTACCGGGGGGGAGGGGGGGATAAAATACGCGCTATACTCTTTTTCCTTACTAAGGTTTTTCCCATAGGGTTTTCCTTATAAGTTTTTTAATGAGACAACTAGTTATGCGTATTACTGAATATGTGTACTCTTTTTCCTTCACTAGGATTTTTTCCCACGGGATTTTTCCTAGTAAGGTTTTAATGAGGCACATTATCTTTTAATGAACATCTAAGGGGGAGTGTTATAAATATATTATATTATGGAAGTTCATTTAGTACTCCGTTGTAAATAAGCTTCATGAAAAAGTTTATCCATATGGGACTCCGCGGTGAATATGTTTATCTATTTAGTACTCTATTGGAAATAAGCCTCCTGAAGAAGCTTATCCTTTCGGTACTCTGTTATGGATAAATATTACCCCCGGTAGAAAATTATCTATATCTGGTACAATAAGCTTATCTTCTCGATACTCCGTTATAGATAAATATTACCTCTGATAGAAGCTTATCTATATATGGTACAATAGCAGCTTACACAGCAGTTTGCAATAGCAGCTTATACAGCAACTTCCTTTCTTTTATAAATAAAGGAGATTTTAGTTCATTATGTACATAAGCTTGAAGTTGAATAATATATCAGTTTCTCTATGTACTTGTCTTTACTTTATAGTTTTTATTTTATAACAAAGGTTAAAAATATAAAATAGAAACAATAAGGTTAGTCACGTGCTTATAATATAGTAATATATTGTTCATCCATTTCTCTATAGGCGGTCATAAGTAATACAATGATAGTTTTTGGATTACACATATCCGATCTATGATTTTAGCAGAATTTTCCATGTTATAAAGAATAATTCTGGTAATAATTAATATGCGATAAACCAGAGATTACTTAAGCGATCATAAATAATATATGGGCAATTTTTGCGTAACACATACGCGATTTATGATTTCACCAGGATCTCTCACTTTATAAAACAATGATCCCGATAATAACTAATTGATCAATCGGAGATTACTTAGGCAATCATAAATTCGATTTACATAGGCGATCTATGAATTCACTGGGATCTTTCACTTTATACAAAAATGATCCTGATAATAACTAATAAGCGATCACTTAAGTTACCAACCGGAGATCACTTAAGCGATCATAAATAATACATGAGCGATTTCCAGATAACACATGCGATCTATCAGCCATATATCCCACTTTATAAAAAATAATTCTAATAATAACTAACAAACGACCAATCGGATATCACTTAAACGATTATAAATAATACATGGGTGATACCACATAACACACATGCAATATATGATTTCACAAGGATCTCCCACTTTATAAAAAAATGATCATAGTAATAACTATTAAGGGATTAATCAGAGATCACTTAGGCGATCATAAATAATGTATTAGCAATTTTTAGGTAATACATAGGCAATATATGAACTCACCCAAATCTCCCACTTTATAAAAAAAATACTATTAATAACTAATAAGCGATCAACTAAAAATCACTTGAGCGATTATAAATAATATATATGGACGATATTTGGATAACATAGAAAATAATAAATAAGCATGGTATTCATCCATACTCCTCACAATTATCATTACATCAAAGAATCCTAAAATCCTTTCCTTATTTTTGTTTTAAAACTAATTATTGCTTTAATTAATTACTAAGTAGTAATTTTTTCCCAGCTATGGCAGATTGTAATTAGAAGTTTCTTTATTTTAAGGTTTTGGGAACCAACACAATTCGTCACTGTCGTCGTCACTCGATCAGTGGGTCCCGCTCATCTGACGTGTCTTTATACTGTCAGAACTTTACAGCAAAAAGAAAAGTACCAAAATAATAAAAAATGAAACACGAAAAGAGGAAAGCGTAACATCGCCGGCGATTACTCTGACGATCTTCATATTAAATCCCTCTCTTCTCTTCGAGCTTCGAGCTGCTCTGAAAAAACTCCGTTTCTCTCTCCTTATCGGAGTTTAATTTTCCGGCGACTTGCAGTTTTGAACTCCGGCGAACATTCACAAGTTTCTTCACGTAAGGTGAGCTACATATTTCTCATTTCTGGCTTTGAACGGTCATAATAAATTAATTACTACTCCCTCAGTTTTAATTTATGTGAAAATATTTGATTGGATACGGAATTTAAGAAAAAATAATACTTTTGAATTTGTAGTCTAAACCTGGCCAGAGTATCTGTGTAATTATAAATGATTGTCGTTACGCAAGTTTAAGCTAAATTATTTCCAAATTTAAAAAATAGTCAATTCTTTTTTGAAATGGACCAAAAAAAATTAGGTTTCAAAAACTGGAACAGACGGAGTAATATATACTCGCGCATGAGGAAACTTATTGGGTTAATTTTTTTTTTTGACAGATAGAGCTGGTGGAGGCATTGGATGGGACATGGCGGAGCCACCGTCGTTACCGTTGAAGGAGAACAAGCTAGCCAAAGGAACTTTTGCGGTGGTCGGAATCATGTCTACTCTCGTCATTTATGGAATATTACAGGTCTGCTGCATCATGATCTTCGCAATGCGTGTTTTTGTGTGTGTGTGCGCGCGCGCGTTTCATTGATTAGTAGAAGCATTATTAGTACAGTTATACACAAGAATTTGTATGCGTTATACATCTCTGTAGGAGTGTAGCTTTAGATAAGTGCTTACTTGGCCTACTTGCTTTGTTATGTACACCAACAACTATGCCACGGTCCCAAACAAGTTAGAGTCCACTATATGAATCCTCACCGACCATGTTACTCCATATAAACTCGCCAATATTACACAAAATAAACGTAAAAATAAAAATTAAAAAGTACTAGAAGATCTTCATATGTTCTAATGACATAAAAATCTCTGAAAGACAGTTGAAGGTAATATGACAGTTGAAGGGTTTAGGAAACAGAAATAAAGATCTTAGTGATTGTATGTTGCCTAAAAGAAAAAAGGAAAGTAACTGTCTTTTACAATGCGGAGAAGTGCACAAAGCTTTTGCCTTTTGCCTTAATTTTGATAATGCTAAAGGTTTTTGAATGTTTCTTTTGCAGTTTGGAAAAAAGAAAAAAGGAAAAAACAGATTTGGTATTTAAGCTAAAAGAAGTATAGGAATTTCTTGTCTAATGTGCGTTGGTTTGTTAATTCTAAGACAGTTGAATTTTCAATCATCTATACATATTTGTCTAGATTGAGCTACTTCACTTTCTTCACCTGACTGCATTCATTTTTTTGGATTGTATTAACGGTGTCAGGCATTTATATTTTTGGAGAAAGTATTTCACAGTGTAAGTGCTATTTTGGAAGATTACTAATATTAAGCAATTGAAATTACCATCTCAAGATATGCAAAGACGTTTCAGGTAAAAATTTTTGAGGGAAAGTTATTCTCTCTTCAAACCAATCTATAGATTATGAGAATGGAACTGCCGGGCAAAGCCCAAGGCCGTGGCTCTTCCTTTTAGCTTGAGATTCTCGTGTCATTCAGCATCAACAATGTCCGTTCAATATGGCCAGTTTGGTGTTGGACATGATAAGACACGGCTGTAGATATGAGACCTGTGTTGGATATGGTCTGGTCAACTTTCATCTGGTATTATGGGTTTTGCGAACTAAACCAGCAGCTACAATGTAGGACCTCCTTAGAGGAAAAGGAGAAAAGGTGGAGAAGAAGAGCATACATTTGTTTGTTTGTTAGTTTTTTCTTGAGTCAGCCAGAAAACAAATATGTAAAAGAAGAAAAACTGACGCTTTTATATTTTTTAGAGAATTTTAGTGATTGTATAGTAAATTAATGTATAATCTATGTGCATTCAACATACTTGCTGTATCCATACGTCCTTTTAAGGGCCCAGGCAACGAAAACTTGGCATACAGCTCATATATGAGCTGATACCTGACTCCGTCTATAATAGTGTCGTTTACACTTCACTCAGTGGGCTCCAGCATAGCCTGTTCCAAGCAAAGATTTGAAGGTTGTCTAGTGTAGAAAAAGTCTAATTATGTTGAATCTTCTGGACTTGGATAATCTCATCTAGTCAACCTCAATTAGTTCCAGATTAAGGTGTAGTTGATTAATTGATAATATCAATCAGTGGGCCCACATCTTGCGAAAATATTGATTCTCCTCAAATAGCTTACAGATAATATGCATAAAAATAGTCAGTAAATCACATTTCTACTGAACTATTATATTTTACAATCTACTTAAAAAAATAGTTATCTTCTACAACTATTCTCTCTGAAGTTGAAGCAAAACATACTTAAATCCATACCATAACTGGGCGTATGAATTTTACCAACCCTGTTATGTCAAACTGTCTTCGCATATGATAACAGTTTATGGCTTTTTCGTTTATGTTTTCATAAAAAAAAAGAGTTTATGGATTTCCCATTAGTTAATAAGAGTTCAGTTTGGGTAAAGTCCTACTGTAAGTACTACGCCACTATCATATGACTCATGTTTTGCATTTTCTGTTCAGTATGGTACTAAAGAGTAAAGACTAATGACCTTTTTATCATAAGTATTAAGACGCTATCACACGGCTCATAGTTTGTCTTTTTGGTTCAATATAGTGGGTACTAAATACTAATGACAGTTTTATCTCTCTGCACACTTTGTTGCTTCTTAGTTACTCGTCATTTAAAAGGCTTCATATGTTTTTGTTAACAGTTTAAAGACTCACAGTACCTTGTGGAAATCCAACTGTTGATGATGACCTCTCTAGGATCTAATTCCTTGAAATGCCCCCCTCCCCCCTCCGGAGGCCTCTTTTCTAAGTGAAAATTCGATTTAATCTGAAAGGGGAATCTCTGTAGCTAATCAGGTGTTCGTTTTCCGTCTTTTTGCAACTTCTTTCCGTAGCTTCATCGTAAAAAATGCCTGTTTAACCACCGGCTTATATATATGTCCCGCTCTACTTGAAACTTCTATCTATTATGTACTGGAAAAACAAAACATGTTTAGAATATTATGTATTTTTTATCTTAACATGGTGGTGGAATGTGTACCTGCAGGAAAAGATCATGAGAGTTCCTTACGGGCCGCAAAAAGAATATTTTACATTCTCATTATTTCTTGTCTTTTGCAATCGGATTACCACGTCTGCAGTCTCTGCCGGAGTTTTATTGGTACTGGAATCATTCTCGGCTTAGTTCATCTGTTTTCTATTGTGTATTAAGAGCATAAGGCTTATATAATACTGCAAATATTCCTTCGCATTCTCTAATTTGCTTGTTATTCCTGGGAATCTTGAAGAACAGATAACATTCTACTCGTTTCTTTGTTTCTTATTTTAATATTCAGGCAAGTAAGAAGGCCTTGGACCCAGTAGCCCCGCTCTATAAATATTGTGTTGTATCTGTCTCTAACATCCTTACAACAACTTGTCAGTATGAGGTAAGTAGTAGCATATAAGACATAAACCAAGAACATCTAAAGAAGAAGCTGTAAAATGGCTTAAATCATTTAAAAGATTTCTCACAATGTATTTGAACTAAGCACTGGTTGTTTTGATGAATTCTTGCTTCAGGCTCTCAAGTACGTCAGTTTTCCTGTTCAAACCTTGGCAAAATGTGCCAAGATGATACCTGTAATGGTAAGTTAACTTGATGAATAGATTGTTGTAATTGCTTAATAACTACTGCATGCAATTTCTCTTGGTCCAGACTTCTCTAGCATAGGCATGATTAACTCTATCGCAATGTGTTTGAGTCATGGCATTGCTATTTCTAGGCTTAGCTTTAACATTTTGTTTGTGAGAAGATATGACAATGGGCCTAACTCAACCCCGAAAGCTAGCTCATGAGAGGAGAATTGTCAAATACCTACCTCAAACAATTTGGGACTTACGCCCAGGAATGGAACTAGAGCATAGATAACATAACACGGGCTCAAGATTGAGAAACACCACAATAGGGATCGATGGGTCTAGCTCTGATACCATATGAAGATATAGCCCTTGGGCAATCCTCCCCTCATTATCTACATTTTGTGATTGAGTTAGGCCCAAGGGTCATATCTTCACAGTTTGGAACTCATCACACCCATGATATCATATTAGTCTACTTTGAAAATCCATCGCATTTATTATTTCTAGAATTTTACTCATTCTTATGGAAATCCAATTGTCTGGTTAAAAATTTATTGTAACACAAACACTATTGGTATTTGCTAGGTTGTGAGTCATATTAGACATATAAACCCAACCAAAAATCATCCCTTTTGCCCAGATACTGAAAAAGCATGTTTGTATAATTTCCCATTAGACATCCGATAATGGGATGTTGTTTTGCTTACAATGTTCTTGTGTAGACATATCGTTAACTATTTAATCGTGCTTTCTACTTGATATCCTTTTCTCTTTTTCTTTTGTGCTGATGCAGATCTGGGGTACTATCATTATGCAAAAGAAGTACAAAGGACAGGACTATCTTGTGGCATTCCTAGTAACCCTGGGTTGTTCCTTATTTATTCTGTATCAGGTAAGTATTTTGTTTGAATTGCTTGTAGGGTATTATATGACTTGCTGCTTTCGCACCTTATGTTAAGAATCATTTTCAGAATACCTTATGTTAAGAATCATTTTCAGAATATTGTGTTCATGTCAAACTTTCATAAATGATGTTTACTGGTCGGAAAAAAACCTGTATAAATGATGCGTATTTGATGTCACAGACACGGTAGGTTTTCATCAATTACTGAAACTTTCATCGATTATCTTTGAGAAATTCCAATTCAAAGCATCACCTGTTAAATCAGTCAGTCGTCCACATAAGATCATGTTATGCCTTTATTTTTGAAGTCAAGAAATGATTTTTTTTTGTTCAACCTCTCACCTTTGATATATCTGCCTTCTACTTACTCTTCATACACCTTTTTTCCTCTCTTTTTTGGTGTGTGTATGTGTGGTTTTTTTTTTTTTTGGGGGGGGG